TGATCTGAGAAATGTCTGTAATCAGATGTGAGCAGAGTCCACGATGAGATAGATATTAAATTTAAAAAAAAAAAAACACGGGAAAAGGACTCACAGCTGGCCCGTACGGGGATCGAACCCGCGACCTTGGCGTTATTAGCACCACGCTCTAACCAACTGAGCTAACCGGCCGCCCGGGGAGGGCGCGCTCACTTAGCCTTTGTAAAGTCATAGGAGACTCGTCAGTGTGTTCTTTTTCAACAAAAGGTTAAAAAATGTTCTCTTTCCTACAAAGAGAAAAGAGCCATCCGAGATGCGGTCGCGGAGGAACGTGCTCCTCCCGGGAAACTTGGAATTGCTCTAACCGAGAAAACTCGCGGAGGCGCGGGTCCGGCGCTGCAGTGCGGAGCGTCCGACACGCGGTGGCGCCCGAGTGCGGCGGGGGTCCACGGGGCCGGAAGACCGTGCGACCGTGACTCAGAGCCCGCGACCCCATCCGGTTCCAGGAACAAGGACCCCCAAACCCACGACCATCGGCGTCCAGGGTCAGGGCTGTTGTCTGAACCGGGAGAAACGTCGAGATCGCAGGGGAGATGCCCCTCCCAACCGGGCCTGACCGGTGTCCACGGGGGAGGGGCCCGCGCAGCCCTCATCCCTGGGTCGCCTCTGCTCCCTTTCTCTGTTGGACCCTACGAGGCTCCCATTTTTTCTCTGCTTTCCTACCCCGTGTTGTGTCTCAGTGAATGGACCCCTTACGTGCAGCTGTCTACGTGCTGGGCGATCTTAGGCACTGACTCTATGGGCCATGGAGAGCTTCCCTGTGCGGCGTGTGACTTCCACCTCCGCTGACACGGAACCTCCTGGGTTGGAATCTCCCTGGCTTTGCGTAATTTTGGAAATTTGTGCGGAACCCCTGTGACTCCGCGGGTGTCTTAGGATAACGCCTGCTTTCCAAAAAGGAGCAAGCGTAGGAACTCTGAGCTCTGTAACTTATAAATGTTGAAATAGCATTTGGGGAAAAATCGTGTTCCCGCCCGGTTTCGAACCGGGGACCTTTCGCGTGTGAGGCGAACGTGATAACCACTACACTACGGAAACGACTGCCTAGTGGCCGTGGTGCCCCCCCATCCAGAACAGAGGAGACTGCCTGAGTGGCCTGGGTTTGCCACAGCCTGGCATGGAAAAGGCACATTGTTGTGGATTTCCCCCCCCTTTTTAAATTTTATTTCAAAGACTTATAACCAAGCAAAGGCTTGACCCAGGGATCAAAATATTACACAAATTCCAGGCACTAAAAGCTAAGGAAGCATCCTGGAGAATTTTCGTGTGTGAATTAATGATATTCCCCCCTTCCTCCTCCCCCCCCCCCCACAGTTTTATTGAGCTATAATCTACACATAGCACTGTATAAGTGATCCAGGGTTCGAGGACAAAGTGTGACCCATGATGAGGTGAGCTATAGAATTAAAGTGAAAAGAATATAAAGTTGAATCAAATCAAATTACTTGACGTGGTCTTACTAGGCAGAGATAGTTGATTTAATATTTTAACTCAAGAGCCTGGAGACATCTCTAATTTTTTATTAATTACGAATTATAACCAATTCTTAATTAATTGGCTATAATTAAGAATAATTAACTATATTTTTAATTACAATTAAGAATATAATTATTATATTAAGTTTACAGATTTTAATAACTCTAAAAATAAATGCATAATGCAAAAGTAGTATAAACATGCTGTACAGTTATAGTGCACATGAAAGCAAACTATGACAACAATAATATAAAACATAAGAGTGAGTAAAGTTCTCACCTACACAGGACCAGCACGATGGTATCTGACGGCAGGCATTAGTTGTAGCTGTATATTAAGAAATCCTAGGGAAAGCACTAAAAATTGTTTTAAAAGACATAAATGTTAAAGTGATAGTGGAGGAAAAAATCCAAATCATGAAAAATGCTCATATATTTCAAATACAAGAGAAAAGATTTTAAAAGAAACAAAATGACACAGAAAACAACTTAGATTTTAATACGGAGATGTCAGGAACTATGTTACATATCAATTACCTAAACCCATCAATTATAGAAAGCCATTGGAATGACTAAATTAAGGCTCAACTAGAAACTGGCCTAGTCTAGTATTGCACAAGGAATTCATCCTCTTCCCCCCCATAAAATACCTACTCCAAACAACCTACCGGGAGTGGGGTTCGAACCCACGCGGACAAACATCCATTGGATCTTAAGTCCAACGCCTTAACCACTCGGCCATCCCGGTGGCTGAGACACTTCCCTGTTCAGTATTACCAAGTTAGTACTAGTTAGACCTGCTAGTTCTTGCAAGATTATGAATAACTTTGTGAAGCTATTTGCCCCTGAGGCAACAGGGAAGGACATTCGGTGCCCTGCGCCCCAGGTGGTCAAAGAGAGTGAGCCCAACCTGCTCGGGAAAGACGGCCCTGGAGGAACGGTTCAGGGAGGTCGGCCCTGGAGGAACGGTTCGCCCGGCGCAGGGAGGTCGGCTGAGGACCAAGCTCCAATAGCACACGTACACGCGGTGATGCTGTGACGTCTTTCAACTGTAAGAAGGTTTGAAAAGTTCGTCACACAATATCGGCCCTTTGTATTCATTGGCACCGAAGCCCAAGAGGCCTTTGGATGGGAATGGAAATGGTCATGTTCGTCTGGGGACAGTTGATCCTTCCCTACCCGTGACCGCAGGTTCAATCTAAGCTCCTACAGAGGAGGGTCCCCTGCGCCCGGCCCGGCCCATGCGTGTGACCTACTCCCCGGGACACGAGCTTCCGCGAGGAGGAGGAGGAGGAAGGAAGACAAGCTCGGGGTCCCCCCGGGGATGGGCGCTCTCAGACCCGCTCCCGCTCTGCGCCCGGCTCGCCCAGTGCAGGCCCCGCTCTCCCGTCCGCGGCCCTTCCCCCCGCAGGTGTGTTTACGTCACACACTCCCCCCAGCAAGTGTTTCCTGCCCCCGAAGACGGGAAGGGACGCCCGTCTGCTGTGAGAAATCCTGTGACTCGTTCCGGGCATCAACCTGACTGTGACTAAGTCACTACACACGAACTTACCGTGACAATCGGCATGGCGCCTTTGGGGACGAGCACTTTCTCTCTGCTCGGTGCTCCGGGGTGGGGTGGGCGGTCAGCCTCGGACGCTAGTGGGAGGCAGGTGGCCTGGGGCCCTGGAGATGGGGTGTCTCACCAGGAAGAGTCGGGTCACCTTCCTGCTGTGGGACGTTGCGGGAATAAGACACGAGCGCACACGTCCCAGGTCGGTGACATGAGTCAGAACAGAACAGAAGTGTGACGTCGGATGGACCGACTCGCGGCCCCTGCCCACACCTCGCGGGCACACTGGGCCCGGCCACCCCCTCCCCAGGTCCTTGCCGTGTCCTCTGGGCTCGGCCAGCTTCTACGGGATAATCGCAGTCACCGAGAGATGGGGGACGGGAGTGGGCGCGGACGTGCCAAGATGATTCTTGAAATGTCCCGGGCGCGGACCGTCACGGAGAGCTCAGCTCCGACGCTGTGGAGGCCAAGGATCTGGGTGTGGAAGGAAATCAGTGTCTGAACAACAAAAAACAAGACAAAATAAACGAAGAAAAAAACTTCATGGAAAGGATAAAGTCAAGGTTAATTTTTACTTATTTGGAAATGCAAAAAAGGAATAGCAAGCCCGTTTCCGTAGTGTAGCGGTTATCACGTTCGCCTAACACGCGAAAGGTCCCCGGTTCGAAACCGGGCGGAAACAACTTGGTCACCTTTTCTGAGTTTTACAATAAAGACACTGCATGGCAAGCTTTAAAATAGAGCTCACCACGCATCACTAATCATCTCTGAATTGATGCACAAAGTTCAAAATAGAAGTCATGTTTTATTAACCAGTTATGACCTCCATACATTGCAGGGCCTTTCTCCGACTCCGCCGCACCCACCCTCAGCCTCTCCTTAACCCCATCTCTGCTGTCCCTTCCGTCATTGAACTGAAAGGCACAGGGGTCAAGAGATAAAACTGGCATTTTTAATATACATGACTTGGATATGGAAGGAAGGAAGGAAGGAAGGAAGGAAGGAAGGAAGGAAGGAAGGAAGGAAGGAAGGGAAAAAAGGAAAGAAAATATGTATGTGTCTGATTGTGACGGTTTTAACCATAAAAAGCACCGCTGCCGACAGAGCTGAAGAGGAGCAGGCGAGGAGACGGCAGGCGGATGAAGCATAAGCGACTCGCGGAGACTCGTGGCGCTCAGTCCGCCGCCGCCGGACCCACCTCTCACCTCCGGGGCCACCCCTGCTCGTGAGCCCGCGTCCTCTTCACTAAAATGTCTATGGAAGGCTTTATGCCACTTTTTCCTCAAGTCGGGTTTTTTCTTTTTTTCGTTTTCCCTTCCTTTGAAGAGGGGGACAAAGAACGTTGGTGTCACTGCTGAAGATTAAGAAATGAAGCCAACATTTAATCCCAGCCTTACATCGGGGGGCTATTTCCCACGTGGGAGGTGCTGCAGCAAAATTACGTTGAGGAAGAGAAAAACAGCCGTCCTGGCCCGTACGGGGATCGAACCCGCGACCTTGGCGTTATTAGCACCACGCTCTAACCAACTGAGCTAACCGGCCAGCTACAAGGGAGGGCGCTTTTGCTTAGGAAAATAAAAAGTTTGCTGACATTCTTGCGTGCTTAGAACTAACGGATGTCTCTGTCCTCTTTTCAAAGCAGACTTTCTTTAGCTCGTTTTAACGACGACTGAAGGGCAAGAGGGGACACTGAAGCTCAGCGGGAGAAACTGAGGGCCAGGGCCAGGGAGACCAGGGGACGAGAGGGGAGAAAGCCAGGAACAGGGGGAAGGAAGACGCTGGATATCCAGGTGCGGCTTCGCCAGCTCTGGACGCAGACGCGGGCGTCCCTGCCCCGCGTAGGTGGATCCTACGGACGCTTGACCAGGAAAGGCGTCTGCAAAGCAACCCGAGCTCCTGCGGCTATAAACCTCCAGGCCAGCCCGGGGGACAGGATGGATGCCCGGCGCCTCCCGCCGAGGACTGGGCAGCATGGCCCTGGGCCCTGCGCTGTGGCTGGGCCCTCTGCTCCTGGCTTCCCTCGGGGGGTCCTCAGCTCCAGGTAGGAGGAGCCCGGGGTTCAGGCGGGGGCTCCGAAGGGGGCTCGGCTGAACGCTGTCCCCTCTGGGCCCCGCAGCCTCTCTCCTTAGGCGCCTCGGCGAGCACATCCGGCGTTTTCAGGAGAGCTCTGTCCTGGGCCTGAGTCTGGGTCCGGGGGTGGCGGCCCGCCCTAGAGAGGGGTGGCTGGAGCAGCCCCTGGACCCCTTCAATGCGTCTGACAGGAGGTCCTTCCTTCAGGTGAGGTCGGAGCGGGGACCCCACTGTCTACCCTGCCCTCTCCTTCCCTCTCTCCTCCGTCCCTCAGCCTCTGCGTCCTCCCTCTCTCCCCCAGTCCCCCCTCCATGTCCTTCAGAATGAACCCTAAAACCACCACCAGTCTGGATGTGTGCAGACTTGGACTGACTTTGGAACCCGCCCTGGCTCACACCCTGAGATATCTCCTGAATGAATGAACACTCTCACCCATTTCCACACCTGCTCTGTACACAGTCTCCCAGGTCCTCTCACTCGGGGCTACGCCCCGATCCACCTGCATGTGTTACTTATTCTACAATTATTAACCTAGCAGGTGCCTCCCATGTGCTCGCCACTACACTTGACCCTGGGATATAAGAGAGAAAACGTTGACCAAAATATCTGCTCTTGTAGGTCTTACACTCTAGGTGAGAGGACAACGGGAGGGAAATGAACCCATAAACAAGCCTGGTTCAGACACTACGAGGTGTAGGAAGAACGACCCCCTAGGACAGCGGTTCTCAACCTGTGGGTCGCGACCCCTTTGGGGCCGAACGACCCTTTCACAGGGGTCGCCTAAGACCATCGGAAAACACATCTATAATTACATATTGTTTTTGTGGTTAATCACTATGCTTTAATTGTGTTCAATTTGTAACAATGAAAATACATCCTGCATATCAGATATTTACATGACGATTCATAACAGTAGCGACATTACAGTGATGAAGTAGCAACGAGAATAATGTTATTGTTGGGGGTCACCACAACATGAGGAACTGTATTAAGGGGTCGCGGCTTTAGGAAGGTTGAGAGCCACTGAAAGACCGGGAGGAACAGGGAATAGAGAAGAGAGGTCAGACGCTCACAATCCCATTTCTTCCTCATCCACTCCCAGCGGTACTGGATAAGCGACCAGCACTGGGCCAGCCGGGATGGACCCGTATTCCTGCATCTGGGGGGCGAGGGCAGCCTCGGGCCGGGCTCAGTGATGAGAGGTGAGAAGCAAGGGTGGGAGAGACGCAGCTGGGGAGCCGGGGGAGGGCTTCGAGGGCTTCACCCGCCTCACACGCCCCTTCCACCCTCTTCACAGGGCACCCTGCAGCCCTGGCCCCAGCTTTGGGGGCCCTGGTGATAGGCCTGGAACACAGGTTTTATGGCCTGAGCATACCTGCTGGGGGCCTGGACATGGCCCAGCTCCGCTTCTTGTCCAGCCGCCATGCGTAGGTTGGGATGGGGAAAGGGTTTGGGGTCATGGGACTAGAGGTGGCTCCCCTGCCTGAAGTTGACCTTGAGTCTTTGGTTCATGGCTGTTGTTGTTTTTCTGCCTTTCAGTGTCTTATTCCCTTTCCATCTCTGGGTCTCTGTCCCTCCCCATCTCTTTCTTTCTCATACCCTGTCTTCTCTCATCCCGTCTCACTGGCCTCCTCTCTGAAAGTCAGTCTCCTCACTGGCCTTCAGTCCATGCTCCAGATGAAGCCAGAGTGACTGGTAGGGCGCAATCCCAACCACCACTCTCGCTGCCTCAGAGCCCTCTCCTCTGCCATCTCATCACAGTAAAGCCCCGTCTTCGCAGTGGCCACGAGGTGTGACCGGCTCTGGCCCCGTCCCCCTCTGACCTCCACTTCCTCACACTCATACGGCTCCACTGCACGGGCATCCTTGCTGTTCCCCACACACCCAGGCTCAGCTGTGTTGAGCCTCTGAGCCCTTCCCCTGGGCTCCCCCCAGATGTTGCATATTCCCCCTCCCCTCCTTTAGGGCACCCTACTCCGCCTGCACCCCCTGCTCTGACCCCTCACCTGCTCTATTCTCCACACACTTGTCTGGAATCCTCTCCTTTCTCTGTCTTACCCTTGTCTCTGTCTGTCTGTGTCCCTCTGTGCTACTCCCTATCTTCCAATCTTTTCACAAACTCACCCGGTTTCTCACTGCAGTGGGGTGGCCCTGACTGCAAACTGGTTCAGGAAGGTTCGGGCGGGAAGAAAGCACTTAGAACAGACAAGAGGAGGTCAGACGGCCCAGCATCGCTTCTGTCCCCCCTGCCCCGTGCTCTCACCCACCAGCCAGGACGCCCTCTGCCCGAGGACCCCCCTTCTCTATTGTCTGGTTTCCGCCTGCCCTGCCCGAGGCTTTCCGCTCCCGCTGCTTGGAAGCAGGAGGGCGGAGGCTCCCCAGGGGCCTCCCCGGGGGCCACTTCCGGACATGGATGTGCGGGTGACGCCTTCAGAAACACTTCCTGAGGAAGGAGCCCTGGCTTCTGGCCAGACACCCCTGCCCCGTCCAGATAGAGGCGTGCCCCAGGGATTGCAGAGGTGACCGACGCCTCCCCTTCGCCCCAGGCTGGCCGACGTGGTCTCCGCGCGCCTCGCGCTCTCCCGCCTCCACAACGTCTCCTCTTCCAGCCGCTGGGTCTGCTTCGGAGGCTCCTATGCCGGCTCCCTGGCCGCCTGGGCGCGGCTGAAGGTCCCGGGACCCCTCTGGGCGGACACGGGGGGGTGGGGTGGACTCGGGGTCCCCATCTCAGGGGACAGGAACACCCGTCTCCTCAGGGCCCGGTGCACAGGGAGAGGGGCTCGCCTAGGGCCACGCGAGGCGAGCGAGCGCAGGGCGGAAGATCGGGGGGTCCCAGCCCCCGCCCGCCTAACAACCCCCCCACCCCCCCAGTTCCCGCATCTCCTCTTCGCTGCGGTCGCCTCCTCGGCCCCGGTGCGGGCCGTGCTGGATTTCTCCGCCTACAACGAGGTGAGGACGCGGGCCTGACCCGGGGGGAGCAGGGTCTCAGCGTCGGGGTCCCTGATGCGCCTCTTCTCCTCCGGCGGTCGGACCACAGGTGGTGTCCAGGAGCCTCACGAACACGGCGATCGGCGGGTCACCGGAAGTAGGAGTGGGCCCGTCCCTGGGGGCTGGAGAGGGGAGGCGGCCTTCAAATTGGGGCCAGAGGGAAAAGTGCAGCCAGCTCGGCGCCGGGGTCTGGGGAGGTGGGACCCCCAGAGATGCTCGGACCCTAGGAGGCTGGCACGGAGGAGGGGCCAGGACGTCGGGAGGGAAGAGCTTCAACGGGGGCAGGGCTGCTGTGGGCGGGGCCCTAGGAGCGTGGACCTATCAGGAGGTGAAGCTCGGTGTGGGGCGGGGCCTGAAGAGTGGACCCTATAGGAGGTGAGGCTCAGTGTGGGGCGGGGCCTGAAGAGTGCACCCTATAGGAGGTGAGGCTCAGTGTGGGGCGGGGCCTGAAGAGAGTGGACCCTATAGGAGGTGAGGCTCAGTGTGGGGCGGGGCCTGAAGAGAGTGGACCCTATAGGAGGTGAGGCTCACTGTGGGCATTCGGGAGCTCAGGAGGATGCTGGTCCTGGAAGAGACAGGCCGGGCCCAGGCCCTGGTCTCCGCCGACAAAACCTTTCTTCCCCGCAGTGCCGGGCGGCGGTGTCCACGGCCTTCGCGGAGGTGGAGCGGCGGTTGCGCGCGGGAGAGGAGGCCCGCACGGCTCTGAGGGCGGAGCTGGGCGCCTGCTCGTCCCTGGGCCGCGCGGAGGACCGGGAGGAGCTGCTGGGGGCGCTGCAGGCGCTGGTGGGGGGCGCAGTGCAGTATGACGGGCAGGCGGGGGCGCCGCTGAGCGTGCGGCAGCTCTGCGGACTCCTGCTCGAGGGCAGGCGCAATGGCAGCCGCCCGGTGCCCTACCACGGGCTGCGTCGGGCGGTGCAGGTGAGCTCCCGAGAGCACGGTGGGCGAGTCCATAGACAAGGGCTCCGCCCACCCCGCTGTGCAGTCCTGGGCAGCCTGGAACCCTTTCCGAGCCTTGTTCTCTTCACCTGTCAAATGGGGATGACAGGGCCCGGGGGAGGTGAAGTGAAGGGGGCCTGCGATGGGCTCACACACGATGCAAAATTAGCAACTAGGCTATCCTGTCTGTCTTGTTTTGTCTTATTCTCGGCGCCTGCAACGGGGTCTGGCACACAGCAAGTGTCAATTAGTATTTAGACTTGAAAGAAAAAATATAGGTAGCCCTGAGCACAGAGTTCTTCTGAAGCCCAGAACCCCCACCTTCGGAATCCACCGTTGCGATCCAGCCGTTACTTAAACAGCGCTATCTGCACAGGGAGCTGTGTGAAGTGTTTCACATGTGTTATTTCAATGAATTCTCACAGTAGTTCTAGGAGATCGGCACTGTTACTATTCCCGCTTACAGAGGAGAAAACTGAGGTCCAAGATAGTATCACTCGCCCAAGGTCTCACCGATCATAGGTCCGAGTCATCTAGTACCTGAGCCTCTAACCCACAGGGACCCAGGCGCCCACCCCCTCTGACCACTGACTCCCAGGAGAACTCAGGCACTCCCCCTTCTGACTTCTCACCTTTGACTTTTAGGGACCTAAGCTGCCAGACCCTGGCTTGCAGGTGGGAGGGGAGACATTTATGAATGTATGTGTGTGTGTATGTATATTGTCCCTCAGGTTGTCATGCACAGCATGGGCCAGAGGTGTTTAAGCTTTTCCCGAGCAGAGACATTGGCACAGCTGAGGGTCACAGAACCCCAAGTGTCCGGCGTGGGTGATCGGCAGTGGTTGTACCAGACATGCACTGAGTTCGGCTTCTGTGAGTGCCTGGCCCAACCCTCCTCTGATAACCTTTAAAAAAAAAAAAAAGCCTATTGAAGTGATAGGTGATGGGCAATAAGCATTTATTTGTGATCAATCAGAATACCTGTATGAGAAGTACTGATTCAGGCAGAAACTTAAATAGTTTTCCAATTATGAGACAAAGGCAATGGTTATTTATGAGAAAGGAAAGGGAACAATTGCATCAACCGAAGGAAGGCATTTATTTCTATTGGTCCAGATAAGCTAATGTAGTACATGCGCATTCTAAACGTTTAAATTTTCAGTCCATCACAGCCCTGTCGTTCTGGGCCATCACTGTCCGGGGTGCAGGAGGTGCCTCTCTGACAGGGCTGTGAATTCATTGGTCATTGTTGGGAGAGCTCAGCGATTAACTGCAGGAGGCTGGGGGTGGGGTTTATACCCCACACTTACAGATATCTCCCTCCAGATGTCACCTGTGAGGACCCCACATGTCCTTTCTCCAAACTCCCAGCACTGCCCTCCCAGCTGGAGCTGTGTGAGCAGGTGTTTGGGCTTTCAACCTGGTCCACAGTCCAGGCTGTGGCTCAGACCAACTCCTACTACGGTGGCCAGACCCCAGTGGCCACCCAGGTGCTGTTCGTGAATGGTGAGTATGCCATCAGAACCTGACCTCAAAGTCTCCAGCAGGCGCCAGCTCAGCACACCATTTCCCCTTTCTTCCCAGGGGATATGGACCCCTGGCATGTGCTGAGTGTCACTCAGGACTTGGGGCCCTCCGTGTCAGCCCTTCTCATCCCCAATGCCTCTCACTGCTTGGATATGGCACCTGAGCGGCCCTCGGACACCCCCAGCCTCCGCCTAGGGCGCCAGGTAAGACAACAACAAAAAGCCCTGGGTGATTTACATTTTCATTTGCATACTAATGTGCATGCTCCTGCCCTCACTAGTACTGGGATCTGACTTTCAAAATTCTTCCACCTCTTTACAGAGCATCTTGCAGCAGCTGCAGACCTGGCTCAAGATGGCGAAGAAGAGCTTGGTTAGCGGTGGAGTCTGAGCCCAGCACCCTCGCCACTCCCTGCAGCCGACCTCAGACCAGGACATACTTGTTCACTGGACAGGAGAAAGCAGCATGTTTATGAAGAGGAAATTCCCAGGAATTGGCATTCAGCACCTGTTCCACATATAACTGACTTGTGTATGCAACCATCCTCACTCCCAGCTAAAACAGCTCTGTTACAGACAAGAAGTTCTGCAAATATAACTGGGTGATTATTCTCATTGTGGATGTCGCTATTTTAATGGCAAATGTCAGAGAAATGTCAATTTTCATGCTGGTGCCCTCCCCCCACTAATCAGATTCTGGCTCACATTCTGCTCTGCTGCCAGGCAGACGCCTTCTGCAGGTCTCTCTCTGGCCCTCAGCCCATGCCCTGCCTGCTTCATGCTCTGCTCATTAAAAGGCATCCTTAAGAAATGGAAAGACAAGTGAAAGAGTGAGTGAAAACGTGCATAATACACATATCTGACAAAGGACTTGGGTCCAGATTATTTAAAGAAATCCCAGAAACCAACAATAAAAAGATGAGTGAATGACAAATGGGCAAAGCACTTGAATAAGCACTTCAATTTAAAAAATACCTGTATAAAAACAAAGAAAAAAATGCATGCATGGTCAATAAGCACATCAAAAAGATGCCCAACCTATTTAGTCATTAGAGAAATGTGAATTAAAACCACAGTACTACTTTACACCCAACTGAGTTACAAGAAAATAAAACCCCCTAAAAGTTCAAAAGGTGATGATGTCACCCTGCCTAGTTTTGGAGAATTTTGGACTCAGGTTTTGAGTTACATTTGATTATGAGTCATAGAATGTCCATATTTTTAACAAGACATGTGAGGAAAAAATGCACTGTGAATGAAAATGTACTAAAAGAAAAATCATTCAAAAGTATTAGTTTTGGGGACACCTAGGAAGTAAGTGTGTGACTCTGCTGTACCGTAAAGCAAGCATTCAGCATGGTGTTTCCATAGCGTAGTGGTTATCACATTCGCCTGACACGCGGAAGGTCCCGGGCGGAAACAACTCTTGCTTAAGGTCTTTTGTATTTGTATTTCTCCTCTAAATGCCTAAGCCTTCGAGGTTTCCAAAAAGTCCTCCTCAGAGGAGCACCGCTGAGACCACATCCTCATTCATGCTGTCAACCTGGGAATTTATGCAGAGACTTTCTAAGAATCACAACTCCAACTCCACCAAATTATGTTTAAAAATTAGATCCTTCCCTCTTAGCATTGCACTTTAGCAATTCTTTATGTCATCTGGGTCCAAGACCTTTTATGATATGTCGATAGATGGCAGATGATTGATAGATCAATAATAGAGTAGTAGATGGACGATAGATAGTGGGTGATAGATAACAGATGGATAGATCCTAGGTAGACAGTCGATGACGAATAGATTCGACAGAAAGGAGAGAAAGAAAAAAGGAAAGAAAGACAGACCTAAGGACGACCTCCATCACCAGGCAGAGGCATTCCAGGTGCGGGGACCAGAACCCAACCCTCGACTCCACATCAGGCTTCTGGGTGCAAGTGCTTGAGTCCGACCGCGTCTCCAGATCTGGGCGGACCTGAGCCCAATCTGCGTCTTCACACCTGGACTTCCCAGGCTCTGGGCCCTGAGCCTGACCGGTCACCTGGCCGAGACTTCCTGGTGCTGCGGCCACTAGCGGCCAGAAGTCGTCAGCTGGGCGCCGAGAAGCTCGGCGTCAATAGGTTCACTTTCCGTTCCATTCAGTACAGACCAGCCCCCGCTGGGATGGCCATGCGGTGCGGGTGTGTTTACTTGGGTGTGTGATGGAGGTAAGTCTGCGAGACAGACACGCAGGGAACCCGGCGTCTAGGCCTCGCCGGCAGGGTGTGGTGACCGCCAGCGGTTCCGCCCAACATTTCCAGGGACTGGCCTCGGACTCGGTTCCAGGTGCGCGCCCGGCAGGCGGCGATCCCTGGGTGGCCAGGAGGGAGCCGCATGCTCCCCGGGGTCAGGACCATGGACAGCGCGCCCTGCATTAGCCGGGCCGGGTGAGGGTTTTCTGGGAAGGAAATCGTTTCACGGTACCTGGAGTTGGCGATGTGTGTGTTTGGTTCACATATTTTTCTTAATTTTTATAAAAGCCTGAGATACGGGACACATTGTTTCTATCTGATTGAATGCAGGCTGGAAAGCGGGCTCGACCCCATCGCGGAAATACTTCACGTCCGACTGCTGGTGCGCCCGCGTTTGCCCGGCACCGCACCGGGGGGCAGGGGACAGGGGGCCCGGGGACCCGCTGCCCAGCGAGACCGCCAAAGGGGATTCACATGACCCGAATTCCCGCGCGTTTTCTCAAATCGTTTGGGAGAAATGTAGGTCTTCTATACCGAGATTGGGTCAGACCAGGTCTCCAATTCTGTGTTCTTTGAGAGGACAAAGGGGTCCGAGGCAGAGACGGTGGTGTGTGCTGTTAATAAAAGAGCTATCAGTTGCCTGCGTGTTTTTATGTGTATTTATTATGTCACCCTGAGGACGACGGCCCGACTGTCTTCAGCCTCGTCTTCACATTTCGCAGCTGCTTTCTCTCCAACACACTGTCCTGGTTGCAATCTCTAGTTTGCCCTGGATTTGTGCACGTTATTGTCCCTCCTTAAATACTCTTCTTTACTGATAGCGTCTTTTCAAGCTTCACTTTTTTAGAAAGAACTTCCCAAATTTCTAGATAAATCTTCACATTTCTCTTAGCACTATACCCTTCTCATTGCAAATTTTGTGTTAATTTGAACGATGACTCGATTTCTCTGGCGCTCTCACTAGAATATAATTTCCAAGAGATGTAGTGCCCTGTTTTGTAAATCTATGAAACCCTAGTACACCATGCCTAGTACACACAATAAATCATTTTATTTTTTTTTAAATATTTTATTGATTTTTTACAGAGCGGAAGGGAGAGGGATAGAGAGTTAGAAACATCGATCAGCTGCCTCCTGCACATCTCCCACTGGGGATGTGCCCGCAACCAAGGTACATGCCCTTGACCGGAATCGAACCGGGACCCTTGAGTCCGAAGGCCAAGGCTCTATCCACTGAGCCAAACTGGTTAGGGCAATAAATCATTTTAAAATAGATTTTTATTTCTTCCAGAAAGGGAGAGGGAGAGAGAGAAACATCGATGATGAGAGAGAATGTGGGTTCGATTCCCATAAAGGCCACAGGTGTGTTTATGTTTAGAGAAACTCGATTCTTAACCGGCAAAAAGCAGAGACTAACCTATTCCCGGCCATGTTCTCAAAGTTCGGGTCCATCGCTCTTGCTGTCCTTTAATCCACTCATGACCCAGCTCAGTGCCCCTAAATTCGACGTGTCCCCGACATGTTTCCTTTTCTTTCCTCCGGAAGCAGTGGCTGAGCACAGAGTTGAGGGGGCCGAGGACTCAAAAGTGGGAGCTCTGCCCGTGGAAAAAGAAAAGAAGCGGATAGGATAGCTGGCAACTTCTTAAAAAGCTTATTCCATTTTAAATGGTCTTTCCAAAGCACCAACTAATCTACTTTTTAAATCAACAAGAGATACGGCGTAAAGGAAAGTCCTTAAAAGGTTGTTCTTCCCATGTCTCTGAAGACTCTGATGTAACCAGCAGCCCACATGGCCCGGGAGGAAGCACCGGGAAGGATGGCCTGGTGTCCGACGCTGCCTCTGCCTCCGCGTCTTCCCAGAGACCCCGATGCACAAAGTGTGGGCCGGCCCGTGACAGGTAATCGCCCACCACTTGATCCTAGAGAAGGAAGAGCAGACAGGCAGACCTTCATGCCTAGGTCAAGGCGCCTGGGACAAAGAACTATGTCACCACAGAGCTTAGATGGCGCCTCCAGCACCTGGGCCCCATGGTGTAATGGTTAGCACTCTGGACTCTGAATCCAGCGATCCGAGTTCAAATCTCGGTGGGACCTTGTTTTGTTTTTGGTCCTTATTTGAACTGCACTTCCTCTGCAACTCATTCTCTTATTCGTACAAATCCCCGCACCCAAGTTTACTTCTGATTCTCCCACCTCACACTTTCTGAGCCCGGTGTCTGCAGTCACTCAGCCAAAGGACAACTTAACACTTGCTGGGCGCAACTTCTTTCTTGGGGGTGGGGGGGGGGGGCGGCGAGGGGCGGGGAGGGGCGGCGGGGCGGGGCAGGGGGGGGAGGGGGGGAGGGACCTCAAAAGAAAATGCGCGCAGAAAGCACCCAAGCTTACTGGAACTGGAAATCTCTAGAAAAACCCGTAGACGGAGGAGACGGAAGGGAAGGTGGGAGCGGGAAGAGCGAGAGGAAGGTTGTTGATAGCCGTGGCCGGAGAAGAGTGGGGCTGGATTGTAGAAAAGGGTTTACCCCTGGACAATGGGCCTGAGAGAGTCGCTGTCACTGTGGCGAGAGAAACTGTTCGCAGGCAACACCACGTGGGGATGGAGCCCACGTTCAGAGATCCGGGTGGGTTGACCAACCAGCAGCGACGGTCAGTGGTCAGGGGACCTGCGGGTCCGAGTTTGCACACGCTTTTCTGGTTCAGGAATCGGAGAAAGCCGATTCACAGACGCTGCCCCGACCTCCCCTCGCCTCCCCCCGCCGTGAACAAACCAGGGGCTTCGTTAGAATTAAATAACAAAGTTTTATTCAAGGATCTTAAGCGAACTGCAATTCTGGAAATACTACCAAGAGATACCCGGAGTGTTTTGAAGAAAATGTTGAGCGTTTTTATAGTAAAACTAGAGGCCGGGTGCACGAGTTTGTGCATGGGTGGGGTCCCTTGGGGTGGCCTGCGGAGCTTGTGCCCCCAGCCTGCAGCCCCACCTGGCACCCCACCTTGGCCTGGTGCCCGCCCCCCTCACCTGCTCCACCATCCCGCCGTGGTCCCGCTCTCTGGGGGCCCGTCCGGCAGGCAGCGCCTCCACTGCCCCCGCTGCCAGCACCGCATTGCCAACCCCGGCCATAGCCTGCGCCACTCCTTGGTGGGCAGCACACATCATAGCCAGCAGTGCACTCCTGGTCAAACCATCCCCCGGTTCAGAGGCTTGTCTGCAGGATTTACGTCCGGCTGGGCATTGACGCACAACTGGAAAGCTAGAAAGTTCAAGGCCTCGGGTTAGTTAAAAGTAGATGAAAATGATCCTCATGTCGCAGCCCTTTCTGACTTAAGTCGTTTTGTTAACTTGAGTGTAGTGTCTCTATTTTTCCCCCTCACCAGCAAGGGTGCCCAGAACTGTG